ATTAAATCAATGAAATACGAAATAAATACGTAGCGTGGAATTATTAACTCTAAGCAAACGTCCAAACTGGGCACAATCCGAGGGGAGGAGGATTTAAACTTGAGACGGATTTATTTTTGAAAAAGGTTGTATTTTGAGACAATGCAGGCCGAGTATTATTATTTTTACTTATAATTGGTTTTACATAGATAGAGAGAAATTCGACTAGCTGGTCAGGTAATAGCTTAGCATTGGTGGCGGTTGCTCGTATTTGTGGATCAGTAATCCCGCGTATTACAGTTACAGACACTAACTTATCACTGAGCCCCCGTACAATACGTAAACGAAGTAACGAGGGACGAGCATAGTCAGCGTATGTAGGGTAGTTATCAGAATTTGCACTCATTATCTCGTATACATATTTGCACTGTCCGGTGATTTCGGACACAACGGAACGAACTCCTTTTTAAAACTACGCCAACTACGATCGCTCGTTACCCACTCGTTCAACCATGTTTTGGCGTCACTTTTTAAGCAATTACCTATACGTGAAAGGCAATCGTAATCAGACCATATTCAAAGTTTTAGCGCAATCTACCTCTTTGCACCAAACTTCAATATTATGTATACTGGTAAAGGTCGAAACGTAGTAGTGTTGACTAGAACTCGCTCCCGTGTTGATAGAACGAATTGTATCAACTATCCGGTTAGCCACCGTAAACGACGTATTTTCTTCACTCAGGATACGTGCAGACGCATTTTCCACGTCCCTACTAACATGCGGTTCAATCGGTGCAAGTGTTGGTAGGGGCGGTGTTTCGGAATGCATTATACGGTGTTCATGCGATGGCGTAGACTGGCCGCGGGGTGGTGACGTCACGCATCTAGCCACAGGAGACGTTAACCGGCGCCGGAATGGCGGCGTTGAATCGCGAGCAGGTTGCGAAGCGTGGGTAGCTAGCAAACTGTTCTTTAAAGCACTTAAACGCGCCAACACAGTACTTATCCCTTTACTCAGATTATCAACCGGAGTATGAGCACGGTATTTACTACGTCGTCGCTCTCGACCATTGTATCGACTGCGGCGACGTTCACATCCCGACATTCCTTCCTCTTTACAAAAGATTCGCGTAGTTAAGGAAACAAAATGGCGAACGACAAGGAATCGCGTAAGTATTTTAATCTCACTTCTGATCTTATGTAAAACTTATTGCAGGTTATTTTTTTAAATAAAGAGGAAAGAATGATAACACAATTTTTTTAATTCACACACAAAAGGAAAATTAACAAAACTAATGCTAGGAACAATCTTACATGTATAACGGCCCCACGCAAAAGAAGGGCGTCGCGTCGCGCGCACTGTTTTTATACCATTAGGGCTGGCAGGGGAAGGGAGACTTCTATCTTCTACTACAATATATATATATATATATATGTGTGTGTGTGTGTGTGTGTGTGTGTGTGTGTGTGCTTGCGTGCGTGCGTATATGTGTGTTCGTGCGTACGTGCCTGCGTGCATGCGTGCGTGCGTGCGTGCGTGACTCAGTTTCTTCATTTTTTCTCTCTTTGTGTTACTTTTTTTTTGAAGAAGGTTACACTGGCGTCCGCAAAATGGATGTTTATTCATTTCACAAAACGCGAACTCATACCTCATAGACGGAAAAAAATTACAAATTGATTTTCAAGCGGTAGTGCCATGCTGCAGTATATTATGGCTGTAGCATAAATAGGTCAGCTCGATCGGGGAAACACCACGCTGTCACACAATACCAATTTAAAATATCAATTTGATGCTGCTGTATCGTGAATGTAGAGAACCAGAGGTCATTTTTACTGGAAACGAGATATTTCATCTTAGTATTAAGGGATGATAACACATCTGAATTTTGATTCTTAATCGAGGACAGATGAAGATGTCAGTTGGCTAGAACATTGACTTACCATTGTAAATATTATGTGCTCATTTATCACGCTTATCTCTATACAACGTATCCCAAAAGGCAACGTCAGTAGTGTAGTTGTACCACTTCTAGACCACCTGAGTCAGACGTGGTTCAACGACGTTCGTCGACGCCCGATCCTAAAAAAAAAAAAAAAAAAAAAAAAAAAAAAAAAAAAAAAAAAAAAAAAAAAAAAAGGTTTTGGCATGCTCTGATCACGAATTTCTACACAAAAATCCATTTTTGTGTAGAATGCACGGTTCCGGAGATGTGTAGATCAATTAGCTAATATCTAATTGATATCCGGTAAGGGCCTCCACCGTCATTAGCGTCCCATTGTTCCTATTTCTATTGTTCTATTGTTCATTAATCACCCTCATTGCAGCGTGTGCGTCGACTATATCAGTGCTATTGTTTATTATAATTCTTTGTTTATACAACGCTAATCTGAATCATCAATAAAACACATTACATAATTTTGTTACAATTTTTATTTATAAAATACAAAATCTTATTAATTATTATCTATAAAATAGGAGCGAAACATCTCATCCACTAAAATATCGTTGTACAATGTGTTCCTTGTAAATATACTCGTAAAACTATGTATTGAACATCCTTGAAACTTATATAGTAAATACATTAAGCAATATTCGCCACAAACTGAAGTCCACTCATTCTGAATCCTATCAACATTCCAGTTCCATCTTTTACAATTCCTTTTTAAAAACTCTAGATGATATCGTACAGGTGATCGTCCATATGAATCAAAATATTGACCGACGTCATTCGTATCGATATATAAAGCTACCCAATGTGACCCTGGTTTATCATCTGTATCCAAATTACATATTATATACGTTGGTACGTGGGTATACATAGGCAGTCTATTAGCTGCATAAACATTATTTTCTAGACTGGGGTGAATCTTTTTCAGATGTTGTTGTACATCTAGTGTATCCATGATATTACTGCTATTAGTAGATTATTACAGTACCTAGCTACTCAATGAATAACATAGGAATGGTCAATTATAGTGATTTCTACATATTAAATTGCATTTTTGTGATATACAAATCGTACTTGAGTCATTGATCACCAAACAAAACACAATACGAAGAAATGTTGAGATAGGCAACGGAAATGTGAGATAAACTGATATGTTTCTAAATATTAAATTGCATTTTTGTGTTATACAAATCGTACTTGAGTCATTGATCACCAAACAAAACACAATACGAAGAAATGTTGAGATAGGCAACGGAAATGTGAGATAAACTGATATGTTTCTAAATATTAAATTGCATTTTTGTGTTATACAAATCGTACTTGAGTCATTGATCACCAAACAAAACACAATACGAAGAAATGTTGAGATAGGCAACGGAAATGTGAGATAAACTGGTTGACGCATAAAGTAATTATCAACTCATTACGGAAATACTTTAGATTAGAATTTTTACGTACTGGTGGTATATAAGACCAACAAACGCAGTCATCGAGTTAGTGTACGGTCGTTTGGCTACAGTGGATCTATCAATAGTACATTTGTGTTACTTCAATACACCAAAGGCTATGGATGTAAGTGTTTATTCTATTGACTAAATTACTTTTTTTCTGTTATTTTCATGTGTGTGTGTGTATTATTTTATTTAAATATTGTGTATGTATATGATTAAGCCGTGGTAACTCAGATGGTTAGCGCTAGCTGTAAATTTCACAGTACGCGACCCGGGTTCGATCCCCGCCAGCACCAATTAAATTGTTAATAGCAATTTTAAGTGCTTATTACCACGTGCTTGGTGGTGAAGGAAAACATCGTGAGGAAACCTGCATGTCTGAGAAAATTTCGAAGGCATGTGAAGTTCACCAACACACATTGAGGGAGCGCGGCGGACATTTCCTTGCTCTAAAACCCTCTCAGAAATGAGAGGAGGCCTATGTTCAGCAGTGGACTTTAATAGGCTGTAACTTTAACTTTTTTAACTTTTATGATTAAGTGTTAACAAATTGATATTAACATGATAACTGTGTTGTTGCAGAAATCATTGAGCTTCGATGAAGATACCTATAAACAGTATTACTACTCGCCACTCTCCCCTCAAGAAGAGAGTGATAACCTCGTCATTAATAATAACACATGCGATGGTGGAAAAAGAAAATCGCAATCGATTGATCATTTTTTTGAAGCTGAATCAAAAATAAAAAAGAGGAAGCTGTTATCATCAACCGTAGCACGAGCCGCTAGAGATGGTGTATCATACATTTCTACTAATTCTGACGACGGAGACCAAGCGACGCATCTCATCAAAATTGAAATGTACGATATGAAGAAGCTATCCAAGATTCCAACTACTGATCATTGGAAACATGCTTCCACTAGAATTAAATATTACGTAAAGACTAATAAGGATAGCATCTACGACAATACAAACGCCCTCGTATACAATATAACAAAGACAATAGCAGAAAGTGAAAAAGTTAAAAAATACTTTTTTAACAATGACAGTCATTAGCTGATCATTAGTGAATGTGATTCTGTTTACTTCAATTACAGGAAGACAAGAGCGGAAGGAAGAGATGAGTGTGGCATACGTGTACAAAACACATCATTGAATAACAAAACTACAACACTGAGTGGAGAAGAAAACGAGAAGAGTATGCAGTACTCAAGAGCTGAATATCCATTCTTCAGTTCAAAATCTAGCCGTTTGCTTAGTTTCGAAAACTGGCCTCTAGTTATGCGACAGAAACCTGAAGATCTTGCAGAAGCTGGTTTCTTTTATACTGGCCATGCAGACGGGACCAAGTGTTTCCATTGTGGTGGTGGTTTAAAAGATTGGGAAGATGATGATCATCCTTGGCAGCAGCATGTTCAGTGGTTTAGTCAGTGTGCTTATGTAAAATTTCAACTCGAACAGTGTTTTGTATTAGATTAAATAGAAGATTTATAAAGAAATAAAAAAAATATATTGCATACAATTTGTTTTATTTAATTTTATAACGTTTCACATAGTTACATACACACAAAATGCATTACACATAACACATAAAATCTAACACACAACACATATTATAACCTTAACTACTATAGTCTACAGTAACATTTCTGTTTTTATCTATCTCAATAATATTATCAAACTCAGCATAAACTATACAGTTAATTGTTTGTATTAATGAGGATTCAAATCGTACTTCTATTCTTACACTACCATGCTTTATGAGATTCCAATGAGTTGATGAGTTAGCTGATAAATCAGGAGTTAAGTCAAATGCTAATAGACAGTAACCTTTGCCATACTGTTCACAAGAGATTCCATTTCCTTCATTAAGAAAGTGAATACCAGTTCCCGAGAATAGAGTATGATATGCTGATGTAAATATGCTATTATTAAAAGATGGTTGCAAAGCTTTTGAAGGCATTTGTTGACCATCAATATATAAGCTGAAAGAATTAATACCATAGTTTTCAAAGTTAAATGGATTTTTAGTAAGGGAACCATTAAATGCAGAATTGTTCACAAATCCAATTATACATCTTTTCGGTACCTGTCCTAAAAATATATTATCAAGAGTTTTTCCTTGAACACCCGAAGGAATTGTTAAAACTTTTACTTCAGCTCGAGTAATAGGATATTTAGCAGTGGTAGAAGCTAAAACTTTTTGATGTGCGAGTAATACACTTGGATTAATTCGTGCTCGTCGAACAATAAGAGTTGCGTCCGTAATACAAACTTTAAACTTTACATCGTTCGACCCAACAATTAAATTAAAACTCTCTCTTGATCGAACCAATTTAACACTCATTTCAACACCATTAATTAAAAATTTATCTTGGTTAAAAATGTCACCGTGAAGATGACCAATCATTTCTATTTCCTTACTTTCACTAATCAATTCCTGTCTTTTAACAAATCCTATGTTTTTACCATCTGTAGAATCCATTTTTCCTGCTGTATCCTCATACCAAAGACTACAAGTAAGATGAGATTGTTTAGCAGCAGGGGCATAGTTTAAAAGGGTTTCCATGTATGCTCGATATGCATAGGTATTATTAGGTGGTGATACAAGTTTTTGGTTTAAATAAACATCAAGTTGACTAAAAAGTGAATGCAGCCAATTATTTACAGGTGCTACTATTGTAGTAGATACCAAGTTAGTTGAATCTTGATTTAATACTTTTGCCTTTATGTGGAGTAATGTATGAGACAAATCTATGTAGTCATCGCCGGTCCCAGGAACTTGAAACTCGATAGGTCCATCATCACCAAGAGATGAAATTGGTTTATAATGAATCCACAATCCATTTTCAATGCTAGTTTGTGTAGACGGTAGTGCAAACAAATCCAATTCTGACTTAACGCACTCGCAAGAATGATTATGAAGGAAAGACATATTTAGTTTGAAAATATATCTTTGATATTTTTTGGTTTTAGACTAAGTTTTTTCGCAGCTTTCACTTTAGCAGTTAATGGTGGAATGAACGATGTCAATCGTTTTCTTTTAGTTTTATACCCAGATCCAGTCATGTTAAATTGATCAATTTTCTCATCAGCCTTTCGTTTTAAATTCGTACTAACTTGCTTTAGACGATCTTTTATTGAGGCTTCCATAGGACGGGCTTGAACCATATCCGATAAAAGTCCTACTCCAGCGCTTAATGCCTCCTTACCAATCACTCGAGCACCACTTGAAAGTAAAGGTAAAACTGATCTGAATAACCCCCCTAAGAAGCTCCCAATACCATGACGGCGTTGATATGGTGAACCCTTATAAATTACTCCAACTCCTGATCCAGCTTGATGTGTATAATAATTTTCATATGGACATTTATGATGATCACGAAGAGAATTCATTATTATAATTTTCGGAAATGTAGTTTAATACACACGGTTCCAAACTGGAATGGTATTTTTTGTCCTGTACTCGATCTTATAACTATTTCCAACGTATCGAACTCTCTTCGCATAACAGGTAAGTAGTGAGGTTGAGAGAAAACGTGCATTTTATTTGCACCATAAATGTATTTTGTAGGATCTAATGAAATGACTCTTAATAAAGGAGTCATAACATCACCCACAATCTGAGGATCGATAATGTCGCAATATAGAAATAGTTGAGATGGTAACCCTAAGTGTAAATTAGCAGGACACTTTCCAAAATTTCTCTCTAGGAGATTTTTATTTGGTTCATAACCTAGCTGTAAACTTAATTTGGGTGATAATGTTACGGATGTTATATTTTTATCCAATACCGAAATAGACACAAATTTTGTTATTTCATCATAGCGAAATTTCAAGTTCTCTCCGATACCATTTAACACTCTTAAAATATGCTCAACGTTATCATAGTTGGTAGCTGGAATATGTTTTTTGTAGTACACTGTGGATGGCTTATCTTCATTAGGCATTAACATAGATTTTGTAATGTATATAACATTTTCATGGTCTTGAACAGTAAACATGGTACATGGATATTGAAACTCGACAACTCCAACCGACCATTCACCTTCTAATTTTATAGCTTTTGGTAATTTCGTTGAAAAATTTGTGGTCTTGTTATCAGGAAAGTATTCCATTGAACTATTGCTGAGCAAAGTTAAATAGAAACTTTCTTTATTCATATTTCTTTTAAACTAGAAGCTAAAATCCAACTGTTAAATTTATCTGGATAACCTTTCCACTTCACTAATACTTCTTTTCTGTTACCGGAATAACGAGTGTCAATTATTTTATCTATTTTATGTTGTGAGGTGGGGTTGTAAGTGATTTTCTGTAATTCTCTTTCATAAAAAGTACCAATTATTGGTTCATTTTGTAAATCTGTTATTGTATAAACAACCCATGGAGATCTATCAATTATTGAAGATATAATAAATATTTCATCACTCCAATTTGATTCATATCCTTTTTGGAATACATGTTTATATTTAGTTATTCGAACATAATCACCCACATTGAAATTTGGTTTAGGATTTTCTAAAGAAAGTTTTTTTGACCGTCTATCATAAAGATTAGTCCAAACTGTCATAATATTGTTGGAATTTACATCACATGGACACATCTTAATACTAGAGTGAAAGCTGTGATTATAAGAGTATATTAAATCTTGTAAAACATCTATATATCTATAAGTATTATTATGAGTGAAATAACGCCACATTTTCATTTTTAGTGTTCTTTGAAATCGTTCAACAATACTGGCCTTAATGTCAGGATTGTTAGTGGTATGGTAATTAATCTTTTTGGATTTAAAGTATTTTTGTACATCTTTTGAAACAAATTCTGTACCTTTATCGGATTGTATGTGAGTAGGTGTTAAATTACTTTCAGTAAATATACTTTCAAAACATTCTTTAGTTGTTTCTGAGTTTTTCTTTTTCATTGGTCTTGCAAAAGCATATTTACTAAATACATCAATAATACAAAGTATATACTTGAAACCATCATTATATTGAGAATAAGTTCGCATATCACTTAAATCAGCTTGCCACAGTTCATTAATATTTGATAGAATGTACCTATTACGCGGGAATTTTTTTCGAATGGGTTTATGTAATGTGTATGTTTCTTGTGATTTTAACCATTCCTTTACTTGCTTTTTATTCATTTTACCCTTCATGGCTTTTGATAATTTATCAATACTACCAAAACCAGCGGGATTAGATGGATCATAATAAATCCTGTTAATTTCTTCTAGTACGGAGTCCATTTTTCCCACTCAAGTCCTTTACGTATTTTAGTTGTAGACTTTTTATCTCTACTGCACGGTGTAGAAAACTCTTGAACTTCAATCTCAGAGGGTTTGTTCAGATCTTTTGTTTGAAGTTGGTTAATAAACTCACATCTCCTTGGATTTCCAATATAAGTAAGTGGTACTTTAATATCTTTTAATGCTTCAGCAAATCTAACCCACCCTACCGGATCACTTCTTTTTAGGGGTCTTAGTGAATCATTTATTAAATCAACAATATTACTTCCAGGAATTTTTTCACTATCAATTATGACTGTACCTTCGTTATCCCAATGTATTTTACTTTTACTTGTTTCAACTAAGTTTAATAATAACTGCCCTTTTTTATGATAAGTTTTTGGTATTAAACTGAGTATTTGAGCTGGTGTGTAAAGTGGATTTTCATCATTTTCTTTACTTTTAATGGATCGATTCTCCTCCAGCAAAGATTCAATATCAACTGAAGTTTTTAGATCTCTATCTTTATTTTTAAAACCAATTTTTGACTCATTTGAATCTTCATTAGATGTATCAGAATAAATTGGTAATTTGAGTGGTTGACGATCCTCTTCGGTAAAATGAAGGTATCTTTGCAGTGTTTGTAAATATAATATCCATTTCTTTCGGTCTTCCGTCTTACTATTCATAATATTTTGCATTTCAATATCTAATCGAGATAAATTACTATTAACCTTATTTTCTTGTTTTAATTTTTCAATCAATCCAGGTTCGATAAGTATCATTTTCTTTGCATTTTCCATGTTAACTGGCTAGTCCACTCACTAATCCACTCAATATTGCACCTAATATTGTTGGTAAGAAAGCCCCTCCTTTTTGTATAATTATATTTTTTCTTAGTTTATGTTTACACTTACGTACTAGTTTACGGAGTATGTTTTTATGTTTATTCAATTTTTGTTTATCCTGATCTTTAAGAGGTACTTTTCCTTGTAAAACGTTATGAATACACTCACAAATACAGTTAATTTCTTCTTCATCACACGTTTTAAGTAATGCTCTTTGATATTTTGGTTTAAGCGTATGCAAAGCGGTTAGCAAATGTTTATACGTTGTGAGTCGACGATGCATCATTTAGCAATGATTTCAATTGTTTGATTCTTGGTGTATTTAAACTCTTTTGTGGGGACGTAGACTGTACAGAAACCATTAAATGGAAAGACATTTGTCTTGATACGACAAAAATCATTGGTATTCTGTTTTAAATCTACCATTAAATATCCATGCGCCTCTAGAGTTGCATCCCTGTAGGCATTTTCAATGAATTTTGGGTTATCTGGTGATACTTGTCTTGCTAAATATCTTATTTGAGTTTTATCTCGAGGGTTTTTAAAATATATTATATAACTTGAGTTTAAAGATATGTCTCTTTGTCCTTTACCCTGATGAAATAAATTTTGTGATAGATAAAATACACTAAGATTCCTGTGATGACTACCTTTTGTAAATATATCCACAATTCTTCCATCGGACTCTCTCATTAGATCATCAATAATAACAAGATGTGGGTTTTCACCATCAAACATATTAAGATTTGGAATTCCTTGATGATAGTTAACATTTGGTAAATTATATAATGGTTGCATTTCATCAAAGCACCATGTGATCTGATTAAAATCACAATTACATATTTCTGTAACTGATTTTATGAAATTTGTTACAAAATTTGACTTCCCACACCCACTTGGTCCTGCCACAATAGCAGTGAACGGATGGATAAAGTGAAACATAACACACGTCTAAAGTTCAAAGGGGTGAAATAAAAAATGAAAGTGTTGGTGTAAACAATTAATATATATTCCAAAAATTATATAAAACAGAATTATCTGTATACTATTTCTAACACAATTAGTACATCATAATTTTACAATTAACTCAACCTCAAATAAATAGAAACAACAATTAGTACATCATAATTTTGCAATTAACTCAACCTCAAATAAATAGAAACAACAATTAGTACATCATAATTTTACAATTAACTCAACCTCAAATAATTAGAAACAACAATTAACTTAAATTATTTACAATAAAACAATGTTTAAATATGTAATAAACTACGTCATATTATAGTATTATCATAATTTTACAATCAATATAAATTTTTCTTAAACGCAGACATAAAAGTAAAAACTATCAACACTTAACGCAGTTTATAATGACCCCAAGCTAATGTTTCAATATTATTATCTAAAATATGTCTCTTTGTGTCATTATATGATAAACCTATCTTATTTAATTTTTGTGTGAAAATTGTGTGTTTAATTGATTTAAATCTAAGCATACTATAATATTGCACTTTTTTATTAAATAGAGAAGACTTATAACTATTCATTGCCATCTTTTTAGTGATACATTTATTTACCCCTTTTGCCTTGGCTATAGTCTTATTCTCTAAGTTAAAAGCGTACATTTTGGATCGTAAACCCACAAATTCTTTCATGATTTTACCATTATTTTCATCTTTAAAAAAACCTAATTTCTTTTTATTTAATTTTGGATATTCAAAAATATTATTTGTATCATAATCTGAGGTATCAAAGTATGATGAAAGGTCAGGTTTTATATCAGTGTAAAAATCATTTGTAAATATATGATGTATTAAACTATCCGTATCTGTATACTATAATTTGATTTTACTAAAC